ATTAATCGCGATTAATCACATCCAAAATAAAAGTTTTTGTTTACATAATATCTGTATGTTTACTGTGTTTATTAGGGATGCACGATATTGGACTTTTGCCGATATCTGATATGCCGATAATTTTCAACTCATCTTGGCCGATAGCCAGTGCCGATACCGATTTATAATTCTTTTTAATTTTGGTTAGTTTTTAACAAGAACTTATTTGTTAGAATTAAATAAACAATAATAAAGTTATTTTAACATTTGTAGATGGTCTAAAGCAAAAGAGTTGTAAAAATTCTGAAAATCTTTTAGAGCTCATAATTTGTTAAAAAAAATCTAACATATTGCACATTAATGAATAAATCAGTATATATAAAATTATGTAAGTGTCGTTTGTGATTATTATATATATATTTTTTGTTCATGTAAGCTATAGCTTCTGACCTTTAAATCAAAGCATACTCATGGTTTTATGGCATCAATTACTGCTTTATTTAATCAGAAACAGTCTAAATATTATTAGTGTATTTTGCTTTCATTTTATTAGAAGTAGGCCAACAGCGCCCCCTACAGAATTAAAACTCCTTAACGAACGGGCATTAGGACCCGGGAGAGGCTGCCGCTGCTGCCGCTGCTGCCACTGCACGTGCTGTTACTGTTGACTCTAACGGTCATTCAGTGAATCTAATCACCATTCAGGCAAAACTTTGCTTCAAGAATGAGCCACAATGCTGACGTGATCTAATGGCACTGTTGACATGATCTAATCGCTAGCACACCCTGAGCACCTGTGAGTTAATGTATTCCTCTTATCGGCAAGACATATCGGCATAATTTTTCATATCGGGCCGATGCCGGTATTTATATTTAAAGCCATTATCGGCCGATTCCGATATTGGTCCGATAATATCGTGCATCCCTAAAAAAATCAACTTGACATGAGCATAAATGATGACAGAATATTTATTTTTGGATGAACTGTGCCTATAAAGAAATATAATGCAAATAAAATAGTTTAACCATACAATTCTTACTTGCATTATGTTTGTCTTTCTCCGTTTCTCCCATTAATTATTCAGACTGTGAAATCGGAAGACCCTCAGTCTATGCCAGTGATTGTCAGTGGAAGTACCCATTCATTGGGATCCATTTCATCCCCTTCTGATACGGCATCACTGCATCCTCACAGTTCAGGAAAGGAGCTCCAGGCTGCCGATGCCGAACTCTCCAACATCCCTCACAAAGATGACAGCGATTTGACCATACACCATGTAAATATCTGTTGGATTTGCCGCATATGCTAACAGTGCCAAAAGATGTAACATTAATGATTATTAGCGTTCAAACTTTCAAGCTAACTGTTTGTGCAACTGAAGTTTATAAAAGGCCACCATTAAAATATTTCACTTTGCTAGCATAATTGCAGGTTTTGATACAAGGGAGAAGGGTCTGAAAATTTGTAAAATTATCTTCTGGAAATTTAATAGCTAAATGCAAACTGCACTACAATG